ATTATTTGTATTTTAGATAGACGGTTTTACCACAGGATTTATAGAAACTTGAATACCAGGAGTAGAGTTTTAAAGTTAATTTATATATTACTAAAAGCCGTCAGTATTAATAAAAGGGTTATAAGAATAGTTAGTCAGGACAACATTATAAATGCTTGAATCATTTTACTATGGCTAGTTTTAAAATAACATGTATTTTTAAAGATTCTTAGATGTTATTTACTCTGTGCTAAGAGAGATTAAATTTCCTTGTAATTAAAGGTCTCCTTAATTGGGAAGGGTAATGTTGTTTAATAGATTTCCTACTTAGTCTGATAAATCCATTTGTTGTTGCAACATAGTTTGATTAGAAGCAAGGGCTCTAAAAGAGCCAAAAGTATTTGAATAATCTTCTTAACTTTTTAAAAGCCTTTTACCATTATTGTTACTTTGCTACTAAAGTGTTTATGATGCCTCTTGGGTAGTTGAGTTCAATATTTTAAAGCAATCAACTAAATTCTATTGAACTATATCGTTATTATTAAATAATTTATTATTATTGTTTTAATTCGCAATTTTTTGCTGTTAGTTTTGCAAAGTTGTGCTAACATAGTTAAGGACTTTGTAAGTTTGGGTTTGATATTTACTATTTAAGGAAGCTTGAAGAACTGATATAATTTTATTTCCATAAGTAGGCAAAAAAGAATTACTCGATGAAAGCCTATTTGAATAGCTTATAATAGACTATATTAACATTTACTTTCTGAAGTTAATAGAATCTAGATTGTAAAGTGCATTATTCTTAGTTAATTCTTCACCAATAATGCATAAATTAATGAGCATTTAATTTATATTTATATTTTTCTAAGAAAGTGCTGAACCTATTAAACTCAGTAATGTCTACTCATCTCCCGAGAATGGAGAAACATTCACTTATATGGTTGTATTAAAGACAGCTAAGTAAGAATCCATAGCTTGACCCATAATTACAATATCTCCTGAAGGGAGATTGGTAATAATTTTGGACTACAAACTCTGATCCTGTAATTATCTTCTTATGATATTTTAAGGGATTAAAATTTCTTATTGTACATCAGAAGTCTGGTTATAATAGAAGAATTAGTAAGTTATAGGATTATTAAGGGCTGTACAACCATCAAATTGAATAGTGAATTAGGTAATTAAAGCCTGACCACTTGAAGGAGTAACAGAAAGAACACAATTTGAAGGAGGTAAGTTTATATTAAAGTTTGTAACACTTAAACTAGGCATTATATTTGCAGGATTATATACAGTAAATCTGATTTGAACAATTATATTATCTGCTTTTATATCAGAAAAGTAATCCCAAATTCTAAATTTAAGTTTGTAATAATCAAATTTAATTACTCCTACAACTAAGTTATTGTATAGAATTGCTCCAGCATAAGTTAGAATGTCCGATGGTACATTTGAGCCATAAATAAGAGTTGCATGGATATCTTCGTTTATGTTAATTTGTTATAATTATCTAGGGTCATCAAATACAACCAAGAGAGGAGGAAGATCTGTCTCTGCAAAAATAATTAAAGAACTAAACTTGGAAGTTCTAGAATCTTTAGATCCTTAAACAGTGAAACTGAGGGTTTAGTAAGGGTTGAAAGTACCACCATTGATTGTAATATTTTAATTATTTTATGGTACATAAACTTCCTTTTTATATGTGTAACATTAGTTATCCCCATTTTATGTTTACAAAGACTTGCATTGCCAACTTAGTTGTATTCCTTATGGGGAGCTAGGATCTTGAATTTCATAATCTCTTGCGAATCCAATCAGAGTAAGATTTTTTTTATAATTAACAAGCATATCAGCTCCATTTTAGATCAGAATCTAAAGTTATGATACAGTGTAAGGAATAGATAAAGTATTTGTATTACTAATAGATGCATCGCTACTAGTTTACGCAGCAACCTAAAAAATATTAAACAATTAATAATTAATAGCAGAATAAAAATAAATTCTACCTAAATATCTAAATTTGTAATAGCAGATATAAGATAAGGTTGTATTCCTAATTATATTTATTGATCAGTGAATTTATTTAAACTTTTATTAAGAGAAGGTAGAACTGATGAAGTGATTTAGATTTCTAACTCATCTTAAAAAAATTGAGTCCCATTCGAACCACATGATTAAACAGTAAAAAAATATGTGATTTATAAGTCCGTATACCTATTGAGTTAAATAAAATAAATAAGATAAAAATAATAATTTAACAAAAGATAAAATTATATTTTTACTTATTATTTATTTATTTTTCTAAAAAAAATATTTTTTAAAATTTAGTTTATAAAGATATGAATTTAAGTTATGGAGATTGGGTGGGGTAGAAAGTAATATAACAAAAAATAATTGATATATTATTTAATTTTTAAAAAAAATTTTTTAATTTATTTGCTCAAAAAATATTTTTAAAAAATAAAATATTTGTAGTAAATGAAATAAAATAGAATTAAATTAATTTATTCATTTTAAAGAGATTTTTATTTTAAATAATAAGAAAAAAAAATAATTTTATTGCAGAAAATATGTTAAAATTAGCTTTTTTACCTATATATTGGAGGTTATTTACTTTAAATTGGGCTAATAATAATTTGCTTAAATTATTAATATTTGGTTGTAAAATACAAGGTATTGCTTGAAGAGACTTTGAGAGTGTAGGTGATCTTAATAGTTATGTCTGAATTTACAGCAATAGTTTATGATGGCACTACCAAAGTTAAGCTTTGATTATCGTTTGCTGTAGTTATAATATCTTATAAGATTATCCAAGCTACTTCACTGAAATTTGATAGATTGCTTACCCACCAATTTATTTTGGAGAAACCTCTTCCTGCATCATTTTATGGTGTTTAAATTTAGAATTAGATGTCATTGCAAGAATTTACAATTTAATTGTATAGAACATTCACTGAAGGAGTAACTGGTTGTTAAACATAAGAAATCAGATAAATTGTATCAATTTTTTAACTAACTCCTTAGAATTAAAGTACCTAAGCAGTGGTAATTATACCGATGACCTAGCTAACCATTAAATTAGCGTCTTAACCTATTTTTAAGAAGTTGTTAAATTAATATTGAATTCATTATTTAATAAAATATACTTAATGCCACAATGATTTATGATGAACTGGTAGAGCATGTACTAGAGCCTAGCAAATTTAGAGTATCAGAGTCAAATATTTAATTGCATTGTAGCCCAGGTATAGGGACTAAATTAATTCCGAATTCCAGAGTTAATGTTGGACTTGAGTTTGAAAAACTAGCCTAAACTACTGCAATATTATTAAAGCTACAATAATAAAAGTTGAGATTTCTACTATCTAATTATATTCCAGGTTAGGGCTAAGGTACGCATAAACCATTACTATTAAGCTGCATTCCAGGATAACAATCTTAACATTTGTTAATCTAAGATGGAGAGCAAGATCTACAAGTTTTAGGGCAATTAAAACAATCGTTGTAAATAGTCTAAATACATAATTTGCAAGTATTATTGATTAGTTAATAATTATTAGGGCATATTTAAAGACATACAGATTATGATTAATTTGGATAATCTTTAACAAGGTAATAATTACTTATACAGGATTGACAGCTTGTAGTTGAGATATCACCACAAGTTTAACAAGGAGAAGTACAAGGAAGGCATTGATTATTGTTGATATAACCGTTACATTAACAAGAAGCATGGTTAGCACTCAAATTGAATCCTGTAAAACAAGCCGTACAAAAAGTTGCAGTGACGCAATTGCTGCAATATTACATACAGTTTTTGCAATTACCTTATGGGTCGATATACTGGCTAGGTTATGCACATGACGGATAGCACTAAGCTGAACCATTAACGAAAGCAAAAGTATAACCACTATCACAATTTGTACAAGTTTCCCCATCTTCACATAAACTGCAATGAGCAAGACAGGGTTAGCAAGATTATTTTGAAGATTCCTCTACTTACAAGTATTATCTTTAACCGCACTTTAATACACATGAATCACTGATAAGATCGTAACCGCTTTAGCAATTTTTACAAACCCCTGAAGGACAATCACCCTTGCATCCAATTGGACACTATTAAATAATTTAAAAGAAAATCATTACATCTAAAAACAAAAGACTTAATAATATATTCAAATTATCTAATTAATTAAATAATTTAGTGGCTATTAAAATGGCTAAAAAAATAAAACTAAATTGTTTAAAAGTACAGTCAAAATAAATTAATTTTATAAAAAAAAATATAAAAACTAACAGATAAAGTTCTGAATAAAATAATAAGCTGGAACTTTGCCGTCATTTATGCTAAAAAAATGGCTGTAAGTAATAAATAACTTCTAAAATGAAAAAAATCAATAAAATTTACTTAGTAGTAAAAGAGAACCTACAGATTTGATAACTGAGTTAAAAGCACATTATTGCTTGAATCTAGGGTTCTAAAAATAATCGAACTTGAACTAAATCTATCTGTTAAGCCAGTCAAATCTATTTTTGCGAATGCTTTTACATAGTATAAACCGCAATCTAAATTTGGAGTGTTCCAGTTTTAAGAACTTAAAGGTAGAGTTTATTACGCTTTTCCATTCCAACTAGAAACAATTTAAAATTTTTAAGGCGGGTCGCTGGTATATAAATCAAAGCTTATGTATATATAATTTATATACTATTACATGCTATCTCCATTAATCTCAAAATTTAAGCCTGGAAAATTTGAATCTTATGTTTAAATCAGATTCTCACAGGGTTATCTATTAATAGCTTATGCTTACGTGACATGATTACTTGAATCAGCTGCCCTTAATATATACGTAGTTGTATCTTAAACGTAAGCAGTATTGAAATTTGTAGATGAACTAATTTTGCAGGAGTAGCCTAAATTTCATTTAAGTTTTAATGGTTGGTTGCTTTTATAATTTTTAGAATTTCAAATTTACCCAAAGGTTTAGGAGTTGGTTAAGGTTATAAGAGAACGTTTAGGCAATCAAATGCTTAGACTGTAGTTAAAGCAAGCAAAATACCTATAAATATTTATATAAAATCTTTAATTTAATGAAAAAAAAGAAAGATTATCCTTACAAAATATTAACATTTTTTGCTAAAAACTAGATAAGCTTGATGGAAATTAATTAGAGTTATTTACTAATTTAGTTAATTGATTTTTTAGAGTGAAGTAATTTTTAAAGAATTCTTTCTTAATAATTATCAATTACAATTAATTTCCTATTTGTTTGTTCAATTTATAATGCGAATTAGCAAGTTAACTCACTATTTATCACAGAAATTAATATGAATATAATTTACTTTAATTTACAATTCAAATGCAATATCACTTTTTTTTTATAACTAGTTTCTTTTAAATTACTCATAAGAAAGATAAAATGAATTTTAGTAAGAATAATTTATATTGAAACCATTAAAAAAAGAATCAATCAATATTCAAATTTTATATTACTCTCTCAAAATCATTATTTATTATTTTTGATTTGTTCTTTTAATTGATTTGAAGCCACTGATTAAAAACTCATTATCTATTTAATACATTATTTTATAGCGCTTCCATTTCCATGAATTAAATTCTAACGAACTCACACTGAAACCCAAGAATTTAATTAATATTTAAGCTATAAATTATATTTATATAAAAAATACTAATTTTTAAATTTATCCATTAAATATGATTTTTTAAATTAAATCCATTATTCGAAATTAATTTACTTATTTTTTAAAAATGTATGAAATATAAATCTCTAAAATTTATAATTTTTAAAATTATATTTTATACTTTAGTAAGGTAATTAATTAATGAATTAACATTTTAAACGTTCATATCTAAATCTAAACAAAATACAAATGAAAATTAAAAAAATTATTTATTATCTTTTGAAATTCATTAAGTGCTTTGTTATCAGAAAAAGATTACAAGTTCTAAAATTTTTAATTATTTATATCGTTTTCTTATCATTAAGCAAATAATTTACTTCCTTGGAATCATAATCAGATTTTTTTAGGTTTATATTTGATTTAGTTTTTCTTTAATTAATTAAGATTATTGTTATTTTTACTGAAGCAACTTTTATAAATAATCAATTTCTTTTATTTTCATTTATCTGATTGTTATTTTTATTAATGTAATTAATTGTAGTGGATATTATTTATTTGTAATTTTTTATTTAAAATTATCAAGAGTCACTTAAGATATTGGATTGACTTTTGTCATAAATCCTACAATTGAAATTTTATTCTTAGAATCGTGCGGTTTACCATATATGCAGAATTCTATTTGGATTAATGTAATTGAACTAAAAATCCAAAATATAGCATACTCGTAGAACGTTGTAAATTTAGAAATATTTTATATTCCCCAAGCAAATGAATTTTTTAAATATTTATTATCATGAAGATCTTAAAAATCATCTTCAATAGTTGTTGGTTTTTGATTTTTGTAAACACAAATATACGAGCCAGCTTGGCTAAATAAATCAATTTACAGTCATTTTGATTAAGATTATTGTAAAAAGTAAGTTAAATTATATTTTGATGATTTTAAATTCAAAAGTTAATGCGTAATTAAATTATAAATTCATTGACTAGAGGCAATATTTACTACAGGATTTAAAGAAAATTTATACACCAGGACTTGCGTTTCAAAGTTAAGTTATTATTAAAAGCAATCAGTCTGTATAAAAGGATTAGCAGAATAGCTAGTCAGGAAAACATTATAAATATTTGAATTTTTTTAGTGTGGCTAGTTAAAAGATAATGTATTTTTAAAGATTCTTAAATGCTGTTTATAATGTGCTTAGAGATTAAATTTCGTTGTAATAGAAACTCTACTTAGTTGGCCAGGGTAATGTTATTTAATTAATAGATTTCCTATTTAGTCTTGATAAATAAATCCATTTGTGTTTGCACCACAATTAATTTGTGCTAAAGTATTGTTAATAAGCTACTTAAGTATTTTTGATAAATTATAGGATGTAGAGTTAAATATTTTAAGGCAATCAATCAAACTCTAAAAAAATATGTAGTTATTATTAAATAATTTATTATGTTTTGCTTTATTAATTTTCACTTTTTTGATGTGAATTTTATAAAATTGTGGTAATTTAATTAAGGACGCTTTATTTAACTTTGGGTTTGACTTCAAGAGCTGCTATAATTTATTTGCATAGATAACGAAAAAGAATTATTCTAAAGTATATCTGATTAGCTTATAATTAATTGTCTGGACTAATAATTGATTTCTATTTTTAATTAACTGAATCTAGATTGAAAAGAGTAGTTAGCCAGTATTCTTAGCTATTTCGTTACCAATATCACATAAATTAATTTACTTTTGTACTTAACTATTAAAGAGCTGAAAGAAATAAACTCAATAATGTCTACTACCTTTGATCAGAATTTAAAGTTATGATAGCGTATAAGGAAAAGATAGATTACTTATATTAATAATAGATTTATCACTCACTGCTAGTTTACACAATGACTTAAAAAATATTAAATAATTAATAATTAATTCCTTTAAAAAAATTATATCTAAATTTATATTAACAGCTATAAGATTAGGCTGTATGTCTAATTGGATTTATTTTAAATTATTGAATGAAAAGAGTTTTATTAATATAGCTAGCTGTTCCTTCCTGCATTTGAAATATCACAAACCAACTATTTTTTATATCATGATTTGTGATTTTTCAAATGATTTTTATATTAATTAATTATGAACATTTTATGTTATTTTCTTTATATTTGATTTTAAAATACTTAAAAATTAATCAAAATACAATAATTTTTTTTCAAATTTTGGGAGTAAAAAAATTATTTTTTTGAAAATCATAAAAACCTAGATGATAATTAATTACAACCATAAATTTATGAACTTTAGAGGTATTTTACAATATTAAATAATGATTAAATTTCATGATCAATGTATTACGGAAATTAACATATAAAAATTTGATATCTAAAACTAATATAAAGACAAATAAAAATAAAACTTTTATTTAGTAAATCACAAATCTAAATTTTCTAAAATATCTTCTATTTATAATAAACCTAATAATCTTAATAAAAATTTGTTTTTAATTGCATCCTAAGCTATTTTAACAAAGGCAAATATGCTAAATATAGAGATTAATGTTGAAAAGATGAAGAAATCTACTCCAAACATTATAAAAAAGTAAGATATCCTTTTACTTGAGAAATCATTTGATTGACCACTAACAATTGATAAAATTATATAATAATATAAGATAAGATAAGCAAACCTATCATTAGCAAAAAAGCAATCATTTTAAATATTTTTATAGATTTATACAAAAATCTAATTAACGTAACACTTGCTATTAGAATAACAGAGTTAATAAGTGAAAATAACAAAATCTAGTCTTCATTGTACTGCTAATCAAATATCGTTGATATGCTTAATGAGTGAATTACTCTTAAGTAAAAAATGGTAAACCTTAGTGCTCTAGATTCTTAATTACTGTAAACATAGAAAATACTGCCAAAATCGTGAAAAATTAATATCTTTTTCAAGTATGAGGTCTGCATTAATTTTTCAGTATTTTTTGATCCTTTTAATATATTAGCGATATTTTTTTATTATTCTTTACTTTATTTGCTTCTGTCTTCAATATTATTTGCATTTTTATCATTCTCCTTTTCAATAATTTTGTTCTATAAATCCAATTTTTATATCTATTTATTATCTTTTAAAGTATGATATATACTTTAAATGCTTTGATTATCTGATAAAGATTACAAATGTTAAGTTTAATTATTATTTTGGTTTTCTTTTTCTAAAATAATAAATTTACTTCCTTGTTAATCATCATCAGGTCTTTTTAAGTTTATATCTGATTGAGTTATTCTTAATGATTATTATTTTTATTTCTATTTGTTATCTTTTAAATTTTGGTTATCAGATAAATATTTCTAATGTTAAGCTTTTTAATTAATATTTTTGTTTTCTTATCCTTATTAGTCATCTTCAGGTCTTATTAGGTTTATATTTGATTGAGTAGCTCTATAAGATTATTATTTTTATGGGGAGTAACTTATAAAAACAGTTGATTCCTTTTATTATAATTGATCGAATTCACATTTTTATTAATGTATCTGTTTTTGATATTATTCATCTGTAATTTTTTATTCAAAGTTATCAAAATTTGCCAAAGATATTGGATTGACTTATGCTATAGATCCTATAAATGCAGTTTTCTTAGAATCTAGATTGTAACCATAAATACAGAGTCCTATTTAGATTAATGTAACTGAACAAAGAATCCAAAATACAGCATACTCGTAGAATGTAGTAAAATTAGAAATATTTTATATTCCTTATGAGCCAAATGCAGTTTTTAAATTTTTATTATCAAGAAGATCTTATAAATCTTCTGTAATAGTTGTGGGTTTTTGATTTTTACAAACACAAGTGTATAAGCCAGTTTGGCTAGATTCAATCAATTTACAGTCTTATTGAGTCCAGTCTGATTAAGATTATTGCTACAAGCAAGTTAAATTATATTTTGATGGTTTTATATTCTAAAATTAAAGAGTAAAGGAATTATTAAGCCCTAAGCTTGAGGCGTTATTTAAATTTTATATATATGGTTTTACCACAGGATTTATAGAAACTTATATACCAGGAGTCGTGTTTTAAAGTTAAGTTAAATATTACTAAAAGCCATTAGTTTGAATAAAAGGATTCGAAGAATAACTTGTCATGACAACATTATAAATATTTGAATCATTTTATTATTAATTCTAAGTTTAAATGAACATGTATTTTTAAAGATTCTTAGATGTTATTTACTCTGTGCTTATAGAGATTAAATTTCCCTGTAATTGAAGCTCTCCTTAGTTGGGAAGGGTAATGTTGTTTAGTAGATTTCCTATTTAGTCTGATAAATCCATTTGTTGTTGCAACAAAATTTATGATGAAGCAGAAAAAAGGGCTCTTAAATTGTCTATAGTATTTAAATAATCTTCTTATAATTTTAAATGTCTTTTACCATTATTATTACTAAGCTACTAAAGCATTTATGATGTGCTTTGGGTAGTAGAGTTCAATATTTTAAAACAATCTACCAAATTCTAAAGAATAATATCATTATTATTAAATAATTTATTATTTTTGTCTTAATTTGCAATTTTTTTTTGTGAGTTTTGCAAAATTGTGCTAATTTAATTAAGAACGCTCTAACTTTATGTTTAATATTTAGTGGTTATGGAGCTTTGAAGAACTGCTACTATTTTATTTGCATAAGTAGACAAAAAAGAATTACCCCAAAGCATATTTGATTAGTTTATAATAGCCTAAACTAATTGGGATTTTTTTATGTTAACTGAATCTAGATTGAATAGAGGAGTGTTCTTTGCTATTTCTTCACCAAAAACGCATAAATTGGTGATTATTTAATTAACTGCTGTACTTTGCTATTAAAGAACTGAATCTAATAAACTCAATAAAGTCTACTCACTTTCCTAGAATGGAGTAACATTAACTTATATGGTAGTATTAAAGACAGCTAAGTAAGAATCCATAGCTTGACCCATAATTAATATATTACCAGAAGGGAGATTGGTAATAACTTTGGATTCTAAATTCTGATCTTTTAATTATCTTCTTAGGATATTTTAAGGGATTTAGATTTCTTATTATAAATCAGAGGTCTGATTATAATAGAAGAATTAGTAAGTTAAAGGATTGTTAATGGCTGTACAACCATTAAATTGAATGGTGAATAAGGTCGTTAAAGCCTAACCACTTGAAGGGGTAACAGAAAGAACACAATTTTAAGGAGGCAAGTTTATATTAAAGTTGGTAACACTTAAACTAGGCATAATATTGGCAGGATTATATACAGTAAATCTGACTTGAACAATTAGATTATCTGCTTTTATGTCCGAAAAATAATCCCAAATTCTAAATTTAACTTTATAGTAATCAAATTTAATTACTCCTACAACATTGTTATTGTAGAGAACCGCTCCAGCATAAGTAAGAATATCCGAAGGTACATTTGAGCCATAAACAAGAGTTGCAGAAATATCTTCGTTTATATTAATTTTTTATATTTATTTTGGGTCATCAAATAAAACTAAGAGAGAAGGAAGATCTATCTCTGTGAGAATAAGTAAAGAGCTATACTATGAAGTTCTAGATCCTTTCGATCCTTAAATAGTGAAACTGAGTGTTTAATAAGGGTTAAAAGTACCACCATCTATTGTAATATTCTAAGTATTTTATGGTACATAAACAATCTTTTTATAAGTGTAACATTAGTCATCACCATTTTATGCTTACAAAGATTTGCATTACCAACTTATTTGTATTCCTTGTGGAGAGTTAGGATCTTGAATTTCGTAATCTCGTGCGAACCCAATAAGAGTAAGATTTTTTTTATAATTAACAAGCATATCATCTCCATTTTAGATCAGAATCTAAATATTTGATAGCGTATAAGGAATAGATAACGTATTTGTATTGCTAATTTGTGCATCACTACTAATTTGCACGTTAAACTAAAAAATAAAAAATAGTTAATAATTAATGATAAATAAAGAAATAAAAAATCTACCTAAATATCTAAATTTGTACTAACAGGAATAAAAAAAGGCTGTATGTCTAACTGTATTTATTGATCATTGAATTAAGTTAAACTTTTATTAATAGAAGGCAAAGCAGTTGAAGTGATTTAGATATCATAGAAATCTTATAGATAGTGAATCCCTTACTAATCACATTATAAACTAGTAAAAAAATATGTGATTTACAAGTCCATATACCTATTAATTTAATAAAATAAATAAGATAAAAATTAAAAAAAAAAAAAGTTAACTAGAAATTAAAAAATCATAAATTAATTTTTTATTAGCTCAAAAATAATTTTAAAAAATGAAATATTTGAAGTAAGTGAAATAAAATAGAATTAAATTAATTTATTAATTTTATTCAAATTTTTATTTTAAAAGATTAAAATAATTTTATTGCTGAAAATATTTAAAATTAGCTTTAATTTATTTACCTAAATATTGGAGGATATGTATTTTAAATCTGGTTTATAATAATTTGCTTTTTTAATTAATTTTTGGTCGAAAAAGATAAGGTGTTGCTTTAATAGACTTTAAGAGTGTAGGTGAGCTAAATAATTATACTTGTATTTACTGGAAGAGTGTATTTTGGAATAAACAAAGTTAAACTTTGAAGAGTATTTGCGCTATTTATAATACCATTTAAATTCTAAATAGTTTCTTAATTGAAAGTATATGGATTAGATAATTTCCATTATAAATTTAAGAAACCTCTTCCAGCATCATTTTATGGCGTTTAAATTTAGAAACTGATATCTTCACAAGAATTTACAATCTAATTATATAGAATATTCACTTAAGGAGTAACTGGTTGCTAAACTTAAGAAATTAGATAAATTGTATCAATTTTTTAGCTAGCTCCTTAGAATTAAAGTACCTAACTAGTGGTAGTAATACTTATTGTTTAGTTAACCATCAAATTAGCATCTTAACCTATTTTAAAGAATTTGTTATATAAATATTGAATGCGCTATTTAATTAAATATACTTAATGACACAATTATTTATGATGAATTGATAGAGCAAGTACTAGAGCCTAGCAAATTTAGCGTAACAGAGTCAAATATTTAATTGCAATTAAATCCAGGTATAGTAACTAAATTTATACCGAATTCTAGAGTTAATACTGGACTTGAGTTTGAAAAAGTAGCCTAAACAACTGCTACATTATTATAGCTACAATAATAAAAGTTGAGATTTCTACTATCTACTTATAGTCCTGGTTAGGTCTAAGGCTAACATAAACCATTGCTATTAAGCTGCATTCCAGGATAACAATCTTAACACTTGTTGATCTAAGATGGAGAGCAAGATCTACAAGTACTAGGGCAATTAAAACAACTGTTGTAAATAGTCTAAACACATTATTTGCAAGTATTATTAATTAGTTAATAATTATTTGGGCATATTTAAATACATTAAAATTATGACTTATTTGGATAATCAATAGCGAGGTAGAATCCTGATAAACAAATATCACATGTATTTGCTTAGGAGCATTTGCTGCAATTTTACATACAAATTTAGCAATTACCTGTTGTATCAATATTATAGTTAGATTAGATACACGATGAATAGCACCTATTTTAGCCATTAACGAAAGCGTAAGTAAAATTATCAGCACAAGTTATACAAGTATTCCCATCAGCGCATTAATTGCAATTAGAAATGCAGGGTAAGCAAGATTATTTTGAAGATTAATCTTAATATATGTATTAGCTTTAAGCGCATTATAATACACATTTTCCTTTGTTAAGATTGTAGCCGCTTTAACAATCTTAGCAATTCCCTGAAGGGCAATCACCCTTGCAGCCAATTGGACACTATTAATAATTTAAAATAAAATCATTAAATATAAAAATCAAAGAATTAATCATTTATTCCATTTATCTAATTAAATAATTTTGTGGCTATTAAAATTGCTAAAAAATAAAACTAAGTTGTTAAAAATTACCACAAAAATAAATTTATTTTATTAAAAAAAAATACAAAAACTCACTGATAAAGTTCTGAATAAAATTATAAGATTGGGCTTAGTTATCATTTATATTAAAAAAAATGAGTAGAAGTAAAAAACAGTTTCTATAATGAAACAAACCAATATAATTTACTTCATAGTAAAAGAGAACCTACAAATTTGATAATTATGTAATTTGTTAGTCATTGTTTGAATCTAAGACATTAAAACTAATTGAAGCTGAACTAAATTTGATTGGATTGGTAGTCATATCAATATTCTGAAATAGACTCGTTTTGCATGACCCACAAGTATCAAATTATATGGGGAACAAGTCTTTAGATTTATAAAGCTTAACATATTAGACATTTTTTTACCAACTTGAAATAATTTGAAACTAATTAATCAATTTGTTGCTATATAAATCATAGCTTATGTATATATTTTTTATATATTAAGCCTTGCTATCTCTATCAATATCTAAATTTATGCCTTTATATTATAGATATTGTAGTTCAATAAGATTTGCACATTGAGGTTATCTTACATAAGCATGCACATCGCTGAAATTGTTGTTTGAATCAAATGAGGTTAAATTATATGTTTATTTATCTTAAACGTAACTATCATCGAACGTTGTAGATGAGCTCATTATGCACTCGTAGCCTAAGTTTCATTTAAGTTTTAATGATTGGTTGCGTTAATTATTTTTAGAATTTCAAATTTACCCAAAGGTGCAGTAGTTGGTTAAGTTTTTGAGAGTAGAAATGAGCAATCCTATGCTTAGACTATTCTTAAAGCAAGCAAAATGCCTATGAATATTAAAAAAATCTTTAATTGAACATATTAAAAGCAAAGATAATACTTACAAAATATTAACATTTTTGGCTAAAAGCTTTTATAAGCTTGATGAAAATGAATTACTGGTATTAGCTAAATTAATTTTTGACTATTCATAACAAAAAAAAGTAATTTTTTAAAGGAATTGTTTTGTAATTATTTTTAATTATAATTAAATTCCTTTTTCTTTACTTCCTTTATTTATTTGAGGTAGCTCGTTATCTCACTATTTATCTAATAAAGTAATATGAATAAAATTTACCCTGGTTTGCTTTATCAATTTTCTTTTATTATTTATTTTTTTCAACTTACTTCTAAGAGGATAAAGATAATTTTAGTAAGAATTTTATAGAAATCATTAAAAAGAGAGTCAACTCCAAGATTAAATTACTCTCAAAATCATAATTAATTTCTTTTTGATTTGTTTTGTTTATAGATTTGAAGCAGCTGATTATCTGATTATTTATTTAATATTGCCATTTTGTAGCGCTTGTTTTGATTTCCATGAATTAAACTCTAGAGAATGTTGAATCTCAAAATTTACTTCATTTTAAGATATAAATTTTATTAATACAACAAACAATAATTTTATAAATTTAGCCATTAAAGTCTTCTTTTACTATTTTTAAATTAAATTTATAATTTTATATTCATTTATTTCTATAATAGATTTTTTATTAAAAGCAATTTTTTATTTTAAAAATGCTTGATTGCTAATAATGAATGAGTGATCAAGCAAATAATTTTATTAACAAGAAAAATAAAATTTATTTTTAATTAAAAACAGAATCTTAATGATAACCAAAATGTCTAAATAAAAATTTATTTATTTAGTTATTATATCTACTCAAAATATCACTTTTATTTTAATAAAGATATTTCTTTCTATTCATTTAAAATTATTTACTTAGCTATTCTAAAAAATTAATTAAATATACGTAATTGAATTATATTTTGCCCTAATATATTTTTCTTTTGTAAGAAATTGTCTTAAAATCTCTCAAATCTACAACTTAAAATAATTTAATATTTTTGAAAATAATAAAAACATAGATGATAGATAATTCGTAATTAATTACAAACATAAATTTATGAATTTAAGAGGTATTTTACAATATTAAATAATAATAAAATTCCATAATCAATGTATTATGGAAATTGACATATTAAAATCTCATACCTAAAATTAATATAAAGACAAATAAAAATAAAACTTTAATAAATCTAAATTTTCTCAAATATCTTCTATTTATAGTAAACCTAATAATTTTAATATAAATTTATTTTTAATTGCATCCTAAACTATTTTAACAAAGGCAAATATGCTAAATATAGAGACTAATGTTGAAAAGATAAAGAAATCTACTCCAAACATTATAAAAAAGTAAGATGTCCTTTTACTTGAGAAATCGTTTGATTGACCACTAACAATTGATAATATAATATAATAATATAAGATAAGATAAGCAAACCTATCACCAAAAAAGCAACCATTTTAAATATTTTTCTAGATTTATACAAAAATCTAATTAACGTAACACTTGCTATTAGAATAACAGAGTTAATAAGTGAAAATAACAAAATCTATTCTTCATAGTACTGCTAATCAAATATCGTTGATATGCTTAATGAGTGAATTACTCTTAAGTAAAAAATTGTAAACCTTAGTATTCGAGATTCTTAATTACTGTAAACATAGAAAATATTGCCAAAATCCTGAAAAATTAATATCTTTTTCAAGAAAGAGGTTTGCATTCATTTTGAGTTTTTTGATCCTTTTAATAAATGAACAATATCTTTTTATTATTCTTTACTTTATTTGCTTCTGTCTTTAATATTATTTGTTTTTATATCATTATCCTATTCAATAATTTTGTTCTATAAATCCAATTTTTATATCTATTTATTATCTTTTAAAGTATGATATATACTTTAAATGCTTTGGTTATCTGATAAAGATTACAAACGTTAAACTTTTTAATTTATAACAAAATTAAGTAATTTTAAAAGAGTTCATTAGTAATTATTATAGAGTATATATAATTCATTTCCTTTTTATTTGCATCCTATATTGATTTGAAGTAGCTCGTTAACTCACTATTTATCTAATAAAGTAATATGAATATAATTTACTTTGATTTGCTATATTAATTTTCTTTTATTAGTTGTTTCTTTTAACTTACTTGTAAAGTGGATAAAGATAATTTTGGTAAGAATTTTATTGAAGTCATTAAAAAAGAAAGAGTCTAAATGCAAGGATAAAATTTTTGTCTTAAAACCATAATAAATTTCCTTTTGATTTGTTTTATATATCGATTTGAAGCAGCTGATGATCTGTTTATTTATTTAATATTGCCATTTTGTACCGCTAGCTTTTATTTAGATGAATTAAATTCTAGAGAATGTTGAGTTGCAAAAATTTACTCCATTATAAGATATAAATTTTATTATTATATTAATAACAATTTTATAAATTTAGCCATTAAAGTCTTCTTTTATTATTTTTTAAATTAAATTAAAAATATATTATTAATTTATTTATTTTTATAATAGATTTTTTTATTTATTAAAATTTTTAAAAAATTATATTAATTGAAATTGAAATCTAACTACCAAGTTTTTTCAAATATTGCTAAATAAATAACTGGCCGTCTTTTATTCCTACTATATATATTTTTAAGTAAATGTTTTAAATACAAATATTAAGTTTAAATAGTGAATGTGATATCTCTTCATAAAACAAAATAAATTAATTAATATTTGATAATTAATTAATTAATTATTATATTTATTTGTTCTTTTTATCCATTTATAATTAAATTTCATAAACTGCTATTCAATATTTTTGAAAAAAAAATAAATGATATAATAGATTAAAGAATATAATAATCTGGAAGAAGTAATTATTAATTTTTTTATTAATATCCTTTAAATTTATATAAATTAATAAAAAAAGTTTAAAAGCTCTTCATTTTTATCTCATTAGGTTCTCACTATTATTCTTGGGTATATTTAATTAAAAAATATTATTTTTATTATTATTAATATTTTTTGTTTATTTTATTTTAAATTTGTTTGAATAAATAATTTATAAAAGAAATTATCATCATTATTCATTGATTTTTATTAAAACTTAAATTTTTTGTCAATTTTAACTTAATTTTCATTTCAATTTTTAATTATTTATTTATTTATAATTCATTTTTTAAAATTTGATATTTTTTCTTCATTTTTGCTATTAAAATTTACACTTAATAAAAGCTATTTATTTGTTTTATATTATAATATTTTTAATTATAATAGTTAATTTAAAACATTAAAGTTCTTTTAATTTATTTGATTTGTTTTCCTTTTTCTTTTTATTATTATTTCATATTTTTTAATTCTTTGTTAATTTTATTAATTATTAATTAATCTTATTATTTTATATTTTATCTTCATTTTTCCTCCTAATTAACAAT